GTGAATGATGAATTTCAGAGTCCTGAGAAGCTGAAATCCTTAGAGTGCATAATTACAATGTCTGTAATTTACTTGCATTTTTATCATGGAGAAAAATGTATGGCTTAGAGGTAGAAAGAAGTATAAATTTTGTAGATTAATGACAAATACCAAACTTTTTTTTTTCTTCTTTCCTTGATGTGGAACATGAGGCATTTTGACAATAAACTATACCTGTCAGAACAGTGGCCTACGTGTAATGCTAGCAATCAGCTAAGAGGCCCTTCATAAGGCTTGGTATTAATCACCCTGTCGATTTGAATTCTGTGGGCATCCTTCTTTCCAATTTTCACTTGGAATTTATTTCAGAGCACAGTCAAGGCTCTGCTATTCATTACATTCAGCATTAGCTAATTTGGCTTTTGGCATCTCTTACCCCAGTTCCTATTAAACACTTTCCATAAATTGAGATAAGGGTTATGCCAAAACATTTGAGGATTATCAAATGGTTTCATAGAGATTGATGCATTATCATGCTGGTTTAAAGACTGTTGGGTTGCTGTAGAATTAACTATTAGCAAATACTTGAAAGTTCCAAGATAAATTTACACCTGCAGCATTTTTTCACATCTTTAGAATTGACAGCAGGAGGAAACAAATGTGAGAAAAGTTGTGTCTTAGAACATTTCTGAAAGGCTCATTTGTGTACTTTGCATTTTTATAGAAGTTTTTAGGAAACCTACCTCTTAACTATTCCCTAGGAGGAAATTGTGGAGGACTTTGTGCATCTAAATCTTCTCAATAAGGCTAATGAAACCAGATACCTCTTCAGTTCAGTAGTGCCCGAATACAGTGGATAGCAGCTGTGGTTGAAACACGAGTAACTAATAATCTGTAAATAAATCAAAAATTAATGGTTTTGGAATTAATAGAAAATATGATGGTGCTATAAGAGGAAAAAAATTCATGACTACACAACTGATTGGATTACTTGTGCTTTCAACTTCGCTAGGCTGTGCATTGACAGAATGTAGTTACTTAACAGATTGAGGATTTATGTTGAAAGTTGTCTGGCTTAAATTTTCCTAAGGCTTTCAAATAACAGCACCGTGTTTAATAAAGCATACTGGGTTGCTTTACTTATTTTCCAGCTGGGCTCTTAGAGTATTGTAGAAAACAGTACAAAAATCCACAAGGGTAGAAGAGATCATTCCCCATTCCCTGTTCGTGAGCTCTTTCACAAAGACATTATGTAGATGATGTCTGAAATGTCACCTTTTTTTTCTTCTTTTTTTTTTTTTTTCATTTCCTTGCTTTGCTTTGGCTGTAACTTGCTGAAATTATGAAGGTGTAAGGCCAAGACTGGACTGCAAAGAGCTGTGTGTCAGTCCTGCTGGTGCAACAGGAATGAAACAAGTACTGATTCTCAGGGTGTAGCTTCATGCTTCTTAAATGATAGAAGCATGCCTCAAAGCGGTATGTCATGCCTGGTATCTTTTTCAGTGTAGAGTTGTACTTGTAAGGTTTTCTGCACTAATTAACAGGTGGGAAAGTGTAAATATATGGGCGCTTTGCAAGGCAGCATTCTTTTTCACTGCAGGTTGAAACTCTCCCTGCAGGACTTGAAGGAACTCATCAAGTGCAAGCGCATGAGCATTGCCTGTCCTGAGCATGTTCCAGATGAGAGCTGAGATGCATGTCAGAGTGTCAGACCTAGAGTAGCAAAAGGCATGAAGTCTGAGACAGAGTGACTACAACTTGTTCTCAGGGTCTCCCCTGAGTTTTGGCAGCAAGAAGGAGAAAGCTTATACTTGCAATGATGCAGGAGGGATGGGTGATACTTGGTTAAGGATAAAAAGAAGGTGCATGCAAATCAGGACAGTTGTTTGGGTTGCAAAGATGTACATGTGTATGTTTGTGGTGGGAAAGACAGCCTCAAACTGAATGGGAGATGTGGAGAAACCTTGAAATAGAACCAGCATGAAATAACATCTTCCTTTTTTCTCATTCTCGCCTCCCATATAATACTGATGTGAGGTTTTAAAAGCAGCAGGAGAAAGACTTTTCTTCAAGTCCTCTTGTGATGATTCTGCCCCGTTAGGGAGCTTCTACTAAAGCCAGTTCAGGCTGAGTGGGAAGGAAAGTTTTTTTCTTTTTTTTTTTTCTCCAAGATTTTTCTTTTGTATATTGCAGAAATATGTTCTCGTAAATTTGTCTTATTGATTTTTAAGGACAATTTAATTTAGTAGAACTTCCTGTGCTTTATGGAAATTTTTCTTTGCCTGTGTTAGTCCAATGACAGGGTTATTTTTCCTCTTCCTATTTTTCCTGCTCTCAGAAGGATACAAGACCCTCTCAGTTAAGCACTTGCCACAAAACGAGATAAGTTTATCCTTTGGTCTGTTCTTTGTCTTTGATCTTGGCTTAGTCTAATGTCAGAATACTGTGATCCAGAGTGCTAGCAAAGACTCTAGTGATTTCCCTGTGTTTGGCTCTGACAGCAACATGGTCCTGCAGTGGTGCTTTCTTTTCCCTTTGTGAAGGCGTTGTGCTTGTAACAGTGGAGAACTGAGGCTGAAAGTGGTGTGTTGGTTCTCACACAGAATGCCTTCTCTACATGCAGTGAGTAGTCAGTGACTGTCTTGTTTCTTAGTGCATACTGGGCATAGATTGGACTATGTGCAGATTTCTGATTTTAATTGATTTTTTGAGAGTAAATATTAGATTCTGGAGGGAAAAAAAAAAAAAAAAAAAAAAGGAAAAAAAAAAAAATGAAAGGGATGTTGTTGGATTTTGTTACAAAATTTTCTTGAAGTATTTCCCAGCTGACTTTGCACTGCATTGAGTAACCAGCCATGCAACTAGTGCTTTTGCTCTCTTTTTCCCTTTTATTTTTCCTTTTCTTTTTCCTCCAGTTGAGTAGATTTTGACAGGACTCGCTGCAGTCAGACCACTGTAGAAATCAAATCAGCTCTTCAAAATTCCATGAATTTACCCCTAATTTGCATTTTCTGTTTTAGAAGAGAGAGGGTTGGGGACACATTGCTGCAAAACACAGCTGCTGCTACTTCTCTTGTCAGTAGCTGCCACAACAGAATAGTTCCTCCAGCTCTGGAAGCACGTGGCACAAGACCACAGAGTTTGATGGCACTGAGTTTTCCAAGAGGGACAGACTCTTGCTGTTTCTCTCTGTGCCCATTTGGCAGATTGCAAAATGGAGGGGGTGGGGTGGACTTTGCTGCTGGCATCAGGGAGCTTACAGCTTGTGTTAATGTTATCCTGGGTTTTGCTCACAGTGAAATAGTCCTCTTGAAATTGTTATGAAGGGCATGTTCTTGGAAGCAGCGCTGGTTTCTGATGGCTGCAGTGAGAAATAGCAGTTGGCTTTGTGACCTGGTTTAGAAAGATGCCAAAATCAGCTCTGTGAAGTGATTTTAGTATTGGATGGATACATTTACACTAACTGTGTAACAACTTTGGATAAAATAGTGTTGTCTCCCTATCATACATCCATACGAGTGTTAATACAACGTTTCACTATGAAGGATAATTTCGCTGTCTGTTCTGGTGATTTATTCTGTTCACATAAGGCATTTTTTCTTTAAAAGCAGATGGCTCCTTTTCCTGATCTGATTTATGGGAATTAATATATAACAGTATTAAAAAATCACTACAAAATAGGATGATAAAATGAATACAACTACTCATCTCCCTGCTTTTTCTTCAGTTTCTCTTGGATAACTACTTGCATTTTCTGTCAGTTAGCAATTCCAAAATGCAATAAAAACTGCTAATAAAAATAGGTATGTTTTCTTTTCAAGGGATTGTATGAGTCCAATGACCAACATTCTTAATTTCTGCCAGTCACCTTCCCAGTTTTATTCATTTTACTCCTACTTAGTAAGTAAGAACAGCAGGAGACACTTCAGGAGTCTGTATATTTCTTAAAGATGTTACCAGACAACAGCTGCTGCTCTCTACTAAGTTCCACTTAGTTTGCTGAGGTCACAACCTTGTGCACTAAGACATCCCACTTGGTTCTGAGCAATTTATAACTAATAGAGCTTTGTCCATCTAATCCAATCATTTGGAGGGCACAGGACAAGCAAAATAAGAACTTTTCCCCATTTGTATTTCTACTGTGTGGCTTGAAGGCTTTCTGAATTGAAAGCTCTGCTTTTATATTTAGGGCTGTTTAAAGGCTATCAGTTGTGCTAGAATGAAAATTGACTTTTCTGGCAGAGAATGTCAAAAGCTGCAGATAAAACAGGTACATTGCCAAAGCAAACCAAACAAACACACCAAAAAAGCTTTGGAGTACTGCTTTCTGGGCGTTGTTCAGTTGATAACACAGCAATGCTCTTCATATGCTGAAATAGATGAAAACACATTTTTTTTTCTCCTATTTAAAAAAAAAAAAAAGAGTTTTTAAGGGTTAGCTGCAGCATTTTTGTTGGGAGACCATTAAGCTGAGTGGGGGAAGAAAACTTCTACGTGAGTAGAAGAGTGTTTTACTGTTGATGTGGCATTCTAAATAATATGGTATTACACATTGCATTACACAGCAGGCACTTTAAATGCTTCATTAACCTCTTAATCTGTGTTCAGGTTCTCACTGATGATGTATTACTGTCCTGTGTATGTAAATGTATTATATACATATGTACATAAATCACTATGTACTGTGTGCTGTAATTCAGTTTCTGTGCACCAAAAAAAAAAATTTAAGAGCTACCAGTTTTACTGGAATAACAAATACAAAATTAAATTAGAAACTTAGAGAATGCAGTGAAAATAGCATTTCTTTAAAAACTAAACAATGTATGTTCATATTCAGATTGTGAATGAATGTAAATAGAAAAAACATGGAGTAGCTGAGGCTAGATGTGGTTATTGTATGTTATCTATGTACTTGTCACAATAAATGTTTTTACATCTATTACAAACGCTTCCAAAAATATGCACTTTGAGCTTCAAGCTCTGCGGAATAATATTTTTTCTATCTTTTTCTTTTTTTCCAGCACTTGCTACTGGCAATAAAGTTTGTCATGGCATTTGTAATTCCTGATAAACCAAGAGAGATACAGATAAAGCTGGCCAAATTGGAATTTGAATCACTAGAGGCTCTCAAACAACAGGTAAGAACTACCGACCTATATAGAAGCTTTGGTGGCCTGAAGGAGAGCAAAATGAGAGAGATTCTGCTTTAGTTTTAGGTGAATAAATACATAAATCCTGGGATGCTGAGACTCCTTTAGTGCTGTATTAAGCATATCCTTTGTCTGTGTGCTCCAGGTGCTGCTGTGTAACCTCTGATCTGTGGTATTTGTGTAGAACTGGAATGTCTAATGTAGAAGCTTGTGACAAAATGATCTCTTAGTTCTGGGCAAACCAAGTCTGAAAACAATGTCCTGCCTTTTCTAGTTATAAAAATCCAATTCTCGTGTGGTGGTGGAACATTGCTATTGAGGTCAGCAATGTCTTTCATAATCAGCCATAACAAATAAAATCTAGATTACAGTTGAATGTAATGCTTGACAGTTTTCTTTTGCCTTTTCTAGTACTCCAGTGTGAGGTTTCCAGGAGCTAGTCATGGATCTTCTGTGCTTTTTAGATGGTATTAAAAGGAGCAGGGCCACAATTCAATTTCAGTTATTATTTCTCTGATTTCATTTTGTAAGCAGGCAAAACTAGGTCATCCACAGGAACCTTAAGCTCAAGTGAAGACAGTCACCTTTGATTATGACATTCCAACTGGAATATATACTGAGTCTCTTTCAACATGAGTATATATGTCAGCAGTCAGGGCTTAATCTGAATTTCAGTAAGAACCAGAAGCCTGGCAGTTTTCATCTATTACTTTCAGACTTCTTGCAGAATTCAGGAAGAATATTGGCTGGTTTTTAGGTGCCTCGGTAGGTACTTTAAACACAGAAAAAATCAGCAAACAGGAATACCTGTTTAAAACAACAGACATAAAAGTCTGAGGTAAATGTGCTGTGGTGTCATGTTGCTGAGAAAATGGTTTATATACTGTTCTGGAAGTGTGTAACACTCTTAATGCTATCCAGACTCATGTATCATTGTGTTTTTCCATGCAAGCTTTACATTAACAAGTGATCTCTGTTCTTTTGTTTGATTTTTTTTTTTCCAAAGCTTTTAGACCCCACTGTCTTGGGATATAGCTATTAGAAGGATGCTAACAATATCTGACTGTAAATCTCTAAGATGCCAAAATAAATTATTAAGCTCCGTATGTAGTGTTTAGAGAGGGAACCTAATGCAGCTGCTTTGAGCTGTTGTATTGATTATGTTTGGGATCCTTAACTTTAGGCAGGGTGAGCACTTTCAGATTTTCATTAATGCTAAGATAATTGCTTTCTACCTGGTGTAGTTGAACTGTAACTGTTCTGTGTTCAAATCCTTATAGAGACTCAGTGTCTCTTTGAAAAGGATTTCAGGGAGTACAGTGTTCCAGCTCACTGATAGAGACTAATGGTAATCATTAAAGCTTGTTAACTCCTATATGATGAAAAATGCAGTAATTTAAAAGCAACATCAACAAAACACCAACATTTTACATGGGAGTACGAGCACTGCTATTTCGAAGTTCTGTCCAAACTGTCGATAAGAAAGGTTTTTAGGTAGTTCTGAAATGCTTCTCTTAAACGTTTCTTCATGCAGTTTATGTTGAGACTGTTGAATAGTTTGTAATAATTTGATTTATTTTGAAAATATTTTTGATACTTTCAGTGTGTGTGGTCAGTGTCAGACGAAATCCTTGAAACTTTTAAATCAAAACTGGGGAATGTGCTCCACTGTGAACTTTGTTTCAGGTTTCCCACTTGACCTTCTGGCTGGTTATACTCTTACTTTTTGGGGGGGAGGGAAGGGTAAAGCAGAGAGTAAACTTAGCACTTCAGCAGCAGATTTGGGAGAATGTGGTGTGAGATTGCTGGAAGAGGAGCAGGAGCAATCCTGATCGCAATCCCTAAAATTCTGTCTGCTGTCTTTGTCACTTGGAAGGAAGCTTGGATGCTGAGCTAGGAGAAATGGTCACCGTCAGCTACTGTGGTAAACATCCTGATCCCTCATTGTCATGGTTTTATGATTTTTGGTTATTGGTATTCCACATCATAACATCACATAGTGCACTGGAAGGAAATTAACTAACTCTAAAGGAGGGTTAGACCTGCACAAGACCTTCTCCCTGTAAAGTACATGCTTTACAGCTGTACTCAGTTCTGTTGCATCTATTTCTTGCAAGAGCAGAAGCATGCTATGTTATTTGGTCTAATTGCTATTTTAAGGAAGAGACCAAATACTGGTGTGCTGCAAGCAGCAAGAGAACACTGGGTTCATTCTTGGGTGGTTCAGGAATGACCGTATTTGTAGGGTTAGTCTCAGTGCTGTAAAACTAGTATGAGAACTGTACAGCTAGCATTTTTAGAGCAACGTTCTAGTAACATTGAAAGCTACATAAGTGTTTTGGCTTCTGGACAGGTTGAAGTTTAATGAGTAGACAAAAGAGTTCAGTGTACCCAGGCAAATCAAATGAGAAATAAATTGAAGCAGAATAATTGTTTGTGTCACTTTCATGCTTGGTTACTTTCTGAGCATGAAATACAGAAAGAACTCCGAAGTATCTTTTTCATATTGCTGTTTTTTCAGGAAAAAGTAATCTTTTAAATAGTGAAGAATGGTGTATCTTTTCACAAGGTGCAGCTACTGCTCAGTTCTGAGAGCTTTTTTATGCAGTGTCTTCCATGGCAGTCATACCACCTGCTTATAAATGCTTAATGTTCTACAGTGTTCTGAATCTCCACAAGCAGTTATTTCAGTGCTTTAGAATGTGTTTGTAGTGCTCCTAATGATTTCCAACACAACAAATAATAACAACATTTCTAAAGCAAGGGTAGGTGTGTGACGTTCACTAAGATTTCCCCAGCAGTGTCATCCCTTTCCTGAAAGTGAGCCTGGTGGTCTCAGTCCCCTTTCCAGGAAATACAAAATCCGGAATAAATTGTGACTGATCACAGCATCATCTCTGACCAGAGACTTCTTTAAAACATGACAGTGCATGAACTAGCTTTTCTGTTTGGAAGGGATGATGAGAGAATAGGCGGGGGCCTGCTGTCTGCCCAGGTGCAGTTGTATGGAGTGCCTCAGCTTTATCACCCTGCTTTTACAGGCATTCTGGCATGTGAGAGTTACTATTCTCTCCAATAAAAATTGCAGTTTCAATGCTTTACCTTTGCAATTCATTGCACTGTGGCAGCTCTACTAACTGCTGAGTGTTGTTCCCGTTGACAGCAGTGGCTAGACCTTGCTGTTTCCCCTGGGAAAGGTTCACATGTGCTAATCACATCTTTTCTCAAGGGAATACACCGAAGTTGAAAGTGCTGGCCCTCTGGCCACTGGCCTTAAGCTTCTGTGAGCACAGCTTTCTGTAGCTCAGAACAAACCACAGAAATACTGCTAACTTGGATGTTTCCCAGTGCAAGAAGACCCTTATGCTTGCCTGTTGTACCTCTTCAGAAAGCTGTTCTGGCAGAGGTTTTCCACTTTAGTAAGCGTCATAAGCATGTCATGTGTCTCAGAATGAGGCTGTGGCTGTGATGGGCCAGCAGAGCTGCTTGAACTGTCAGTGAGCCACAGAAATGTCCTTTTTTTTTTTTCTGGGAGGAGGAGAATGGGAACCATTTTTAATCCTTAACACTGGGAGAGCGCGAGTTGTGAGTGCTAAACATCCTGCTATTTTATTCTGCAAAATGGGAACTGGAGGCAGTTTTTTTTGTAAGGCAGCAACAAACTCAATGGACTGCTGCCTCATTCAGTGTTACGGTTACTGGAATTAGAGGGCTCAGAAAAGGATGATCTGTAGCTTCAGGGCTGCCCTCAAAACGCTGCTGATCCAAAAAGCAGAAGCTTGTTCTGCGCTTCTTGGCACTGCTGAGCGAACACAAGCAGTCAGTCAGGAGCGGTGACTGAAAAGAGTTCATTCAGCTTGTCAAGAGTTTGGAAGGCACCTATCAGAAAGCCTGTTGGATAGCCTGATGAAGTTTTGGGTAAAATGGTGGATTTGATGAATTCAAGTTAAAACAGAATGGGATGAAATAAAACACCTGCTTTATGTTTTTTGACCAAAAAGTAAAACAACAAAGCCAGCCTTAAAAATGGTATTTTTTGAAGAAATGGAGCCTCACTTTTTCCAGCTTTGTGACTGCTTTCTTTTAAAGGCCCCACTGGTTTTTGCAACCAAATGTAACTTACAGTGGATGTGAAAATAGAACTGTTACTAATAATTGTTGTTTGCTGGTTTGGGTTTGTTTTTTTTAGAGCCTGAACTTGTTAATTTAACTTTGCAAATGCAATTTTTCCCTAGTGAGTAGTCAGAATGCCTCCAAACATTTCTTAATGTGCCATTTGCATGTGTTTGGTAGCTGCAGGGATATAATGCAAATGTAATGCAAGATTAATTATATTTTCATACACAACTCTTTAAACACTGGAAGTCTTACACCCTACAGGAGTGCGAGCTGTATTCAAACAATTTTGGCTATGTATCTATGTTTTGAATATCAATACCTTAGTGCTGGTCTTTTCTTTGGAAACTACTTTTAATATCAAAGTGTCAGCAAAACCAGAATGGTGGTCCTTGAAAGAGAATAATACAAAATCAGAAGTCCATAATTAATTTGGGACAAGAAGTTTTTGTGTTCCCTGTTACGGCTTTTCAGCTAGAAGTGAAATTGTACGAAGTCTTCCTAGTTCTGAGCTTCTCTAGCTTCATCTTTTCCAACAATCCCTTCATTCTCTGTGACTGTTGCCAAGGATGAAACTGTCCATTTGGTTCTGTAACAGTTAAGTCACTCTGGAAAGGTGGCTCACTTGAGCTTTTTCAAGTCTGAGCTAGAGCCTGGTGCTGGAATGAGTATCAATCACTTCAGTTATCTCTTTTTGCCTGTCAGCCCAGATCATTGCAAGGTGTGATCTCAACAAGGAAACCTGGAGTAAGGGGACAGGATAAATCTAGGTTAAAGTTGTTCCTGCTGAAAGCCTGATGTAACCGCAGCATTCTTGTAGTTTCAGAACCCAGAGGGGTTCCCAATTATATGTGAACTGGCTTGAATACAAG